TCCAGGTTTATCGTTTTCTCTGTTTGATTATGGAAGTGTTTGGCCGAATAGATTGCCATCAACTTGACCTTTCCAGGCTGTGAGAAAGGCGAAATTCGCCGTGACGTCAGCTTAATCGTGAATAGAGAATAAAAATAACACCTCGCTTTGCTCAACAAGAATACGAAGAATTTCTTGATCAATGCCGAGGTTTATAGAAAGTCGGTCTTTCGGGTTATTGGACGATCAATGTGCTGCACACACAGACAACAAGTGTGTAATGGAATCATTTTGGTAACGGTACGACACAAATACGGTGTTGTGGTAGCACAGAAAAACGAATCGAATGACTCAGCCTTAGAAACCACTTTTGAATTTCCTCTGTAACATGTATAGGAGCAATAAACACGTATTTGCCGACTCAACAAATCTTAGAGGATTACCAGAGATTATAGCTTGAAAATTACGCGTGTAGAGCACTGGTTAAAGGCGCCCTGCAATATACATAGGATCGATCCCACGCCGCAGGCTCACTTGGCCTTCTATCTCTACGAAGTGGACAAATTGGTTTCAGACTTATTTGCCAGAATAGCAACATTGACTCGATACATCAGTAGGCCACTGCGAGTCCTTGCATAAGCCAGATATGCGTTCAATCACCTCTAAAGATGCTTGATGAAGTCGAACGATTAGTGCATCCGTCAGAGATTGATCAACGCCGAGAGCTTTATCCTCTACCCCTTTACAGGCTGGAATGATTGCTAATACGTTAAGAAGTGGTTACGGAAGCCAAGGAATAGAAACATTGTTGTTTACTGCCCCTCTTCAAATCCTTTATCTTGAAAGAAGGCGCATGTCAGGAAGATGCATCGAGTGGTTGCAAATGCAGATAAGTGCAAAAAGTCGTCATATTTAGCGGGTAATCTCCAATATCTACAAATTAGCGGTCTCTTACATTAAATTTAAAAGAAAAGTTATGACCAAAGAAACAATTCCCGCTACAGTAATCCCTCCTCGGTAGTATAGTGGTTAGTATCCGCGTCTGTCCCGTTTAACTTGCTCCTCATCCCCAATGACTAAGAATTTTTTCTGTTTTAGTGCTTCAGATACGGCAAATGAACAATCTGAAAAGATTCAACCACCGAGTCACCACCTTTATTACGGTCCTTGTAACAAAGGAAATCACAAGTGATCACAAACACCTGGAACTAATTGGAATCAGCCGTGACCGAACCGTACCACCTTGGTTACTGCTTGTTCTTCGAGAACTAAGGGAGTTGAATAGTTGTGAACTAAACAGATTTATAGATGAGACTCTGCACTATTTCTACAATGGTATTATATGACTCAACCGCTTTGTCGGAATTCGCAAGTAGCAATTTGTCGAATGTTCCAATCAGGCAAAGATGTGCAGTCTCCCCTATAAATCTGTTTAGATTGTGAAGACATGACCAGATGGCGCCCTATTCTCTGCAGCTGAGAAAACTAAATCCCAGTGTAAACGTTTTTAGCCACAATATTTTAAATGGTATTAGGAAGTTTTAGGAGTGGAAGACGAGATCTATTTCGAAAGACACCCGCTACGGAAGAGGAATTGACACATTGGTGAATCCACGCTTTTTACATGTCAAGCCGCTCTGAAATATAAACGTACTCTAGAACTACATCTATAGAAGTCACCTCAACGATTTTCTACATTGTTAACCTTTTATTTTCTGCCTACTATAATTTTTATGCGCGAGCCCCCGGAAAGGGAAATCGTGGTTCGATCTGGCCCGGGGTCCAAGTTTTGCACAACATCTCGACATCGTTGCGGTTGTAATTTACCACACTTGTGTAGCAAGAAGACGGCAGCAGAAACGTCTTTGCACTACCGTGAACAGTCTCTTACTGCCGTATAACAAAGTTGTGTCTTAAAAACTCTTTTTGAAAATTGTTGCAGAATTCATTTCTTCTCGAATAACGTCTGACTCAACATATGCGTTGTCCACCTACTGAATATAAAAAGCAAAGCAGAAAACCTCCGTCTGGGAAAATAAAGAACTGAAAAGAAAACATATTGGCATTAATACATGTTGCACTTTCTACCTCACAGCCCATGCATTGGCATAAATGCATGTTGCTACGAATGTGCTAGGAACTGCCATTTTCTCTCTCAACAATCGCGAGGTTGTTAAACAGCATATGCTTACTTCCATACAATAACATATATACAACACAACCGTAGCTGACGTTTCGGCAGAATCGCCTTCTTCAGAGCCTGGAAGGGTACACTAATACGCAACTTACTAGGTCAAACGCTTCAATAACACTTACAGAAAGATGAGAATCTAAATGGTAGTCACACGGTCAACAGCTTCTCGAAAAACCCACCGTTTTTTACGTGCCTTCCACTGATGATGAACAGCTGATCAGAGTCGAATATCGTTGATGACTGCACCTTCCACATCAACGATCAATCCGAAGGTACGGGGAGAGATCGGGTGTGATCTCGGGCCATTCCTCCCTGCTATTCATTGTAGAGTTTTTGGCATTTATCCATTTTTCGTATTTTCGAGAAGCTGTTGGCCGTCTGACTACCATTTAGATTCTCATCTTTCGGTATGTGTTATTGAAGCTTTTGGCCTAGTGTAATTGTATATTAGTATGTCCTACCAGGCTCTGAAGAAGGCGATTCTGCCGAAATTTCAGCTACGCTTGTGTTGTGTGTTATTGTATGAAAGTGAACGTATGCTGTTTAACAACCTCGCGATTGATAAGAAGAAAACCGATGAATTTATAATCCAATGCTGAGGTTAGCAGAAAATCCATCCTGGGAAGTGTTATGAACTGTCTCCAAAACTGCTACACAATGGGCTTCAAACATCCAATAACTGTGGTGCCCTAATGCCAGTGTTTAGGCCTACCATTCTCATGGGTTCCTTTCTCTTTCGACAACTGCTTAGTTCAAAGCACATTTCTGGTCCCCTCTAACAAGCGTGCCACACTAATCAATAAGGTTAAATCAAGTCTGAAGCTTTCATAAGAAGCCTGAGGCGCAGGCCGTTTTTTCCTCATCGTAATATTCTATCACTATGATAAGATGATTTTTTTTCTACGTATCAAGAGTAGAAACAGAAAGGGCTGACACAATTTCGACCTTTTTGCTCCATGCCTTGGTAATAATTTCTGCAGGATTAAAAAGTCGCAGTCATAGGTTTTTGCTCTATTAGAATGAAAAGGATATGAATGATGTGCACTGTTAACCCAGTCCTAGCGCTACATAGTAGTTCGCAAAATGAATGCGCGGAGATCCTAGAGGGAGGGTCTGTGCGCTTGCGAATGACACCTCATGGCATTGACCTATTTATTAAACTATTTGTAACTTTCCACGTTCGGAATTATCTGTCCTTCGCGTTGGCTCTAAAAATGTGAAAAACTGATTCCTGTTCGTCTAAATAAAGGTGTTGATCGACAATGTTAGGGTTCTTTTGTAGACGAGACTGTCGACGTTTTGACGCCGTGTCAATCTAATCGATGTTGACGTGAACGACGTGATGGGTACGCGAAAACAACCAGACCAAACCAAAGGGGAATTGTGCTTTGACGACGCATAAAGTACTGAGTTTTTGTTTACATAATTTAGCATCACGCATGTATGACATTTTATTTACTGGTTATTGCTTTCCTGTGGTAGGATATTATGTGAAATACAACCATAATAATGCTGAGATCTTTGCAAAACTCAGACCCAGCGCCGGATTCGAACTTGCGAGAACCTTTCTGGAGGATCACATTTATCCATTGCAACACTGCGGCCTTCGCTTTGACTCTTTGTTGGCCAGTTTTTTACACTCACATTGCAGTCAGCGAATCTGGCCTGTGGTCCTGGTTTTGTAAATATCTCATCATCATTGTGGTTATATTTAACATAAAATATTTTGCAGTAACTGCCACGACCGACTTTCTATTAACCTCGGCATTGATCAAGTGATTTTGTTCGTATTTTTTTGAGCAAACGCGAGGTGTTACTATTCTTTGTTCACGATTAAGCTGACGTTTCGGCGGATTTCGCCTTCTTCAGAGCCGCTTTCTATGAGGCTCTCTAATGTGGAGACCTCATAGAAAGCGGCTCTGAAGAAGGCGAAATTCGCCGAAACGTCAGCTTAATTGTGAACAAAGAACAATAACACCTCGCGTTTGCTCAAAAAAATACGAATAAAATATTTTGTTAATCCCAGCACTCCCTTCATAAGATTCGTTTCATTCATCACCAGTCCAAGCATTCAGTTTTTCAGGTATGTTCGGCAGTTGCTTTATGTATTCTGGACCTCCCTGTGAATGTTACTGAATTCTGGTAAGGTTCGTTCTCTCTAAGGTGTTCCTAGTCTATGTTAGTTGGATTGAAGCAAGTGCGAAACGAGGATTAGAGCGCTGCTCAATCTACATAGCCAATGCACTACTCCGTAGCACTTTATTCAACACTAAGCTCTTCTGAATATGCCTTCGTTGTTTTAACCATTAGCAAGTTCTACGACGATGTATCATGGTGGAACGGTACGAATGTCCATCTGTAGATTGATTACCAAAGTAAGATTTCAGGAGACCTTTTCAATAAAGTTTTTTACGAACTTCCTGTGCTACGTTGTCAGCTCCTTTCCCTTTCGTTTGGAATTCGTTCTTGTAACTGTAGATTGTTGCTGTTGCATTTGTAGAATCAACACACACTCAGCAGATTTTTTCATGCAACATCATGTCTTTAATTACGTAGACACTAAAACGACACCTTCTCCAATTGCCATATATACATTCTAAGCGCTAAACACACACGCACACAAATACGTTACAATCATCAATACTTAACCGGTAGAGTGAAAAAATCCGAAGTGAAATTTGCGACCATGGATTGAAATGTGTCTAAAGAAAAAGGTTTCTAAGTGAATATTATTGTCCAAGGCTCTATGGAGATTCGCGTACGGTGGTTAATTCGGAATCGGTCGTAGTTGCGATTAATGAAGTTTTCCGTCAATGTGGAATAAGGTTTATTGACGGAAGCTGTTTGGATCATCCACCTGGAAAAATGGCTCTTCGAACTTCTTTGGATAGTCGCCCACTGCAACGTCTACATTGTTCTGAAACAATTCTGAATAAGATATATGAAGCATTTGATGCACTAGGGAGTTTTCAGTGCTTGTATTAATGGATTAGTTGGGATCGTAGCCTATTAATTTTTTATACGACCTATCTTCATATTCACTGTGCTGATCCCAGCACTTCTCACATTCGATTCGTTTCCTCGCATTCTTTAATCCACTGAGCCCTATCAACTTTTACGTGCGACTTCGGCTGTTGTTTGAGAATTTCCATTTCATCTCGAATATCGTAGAATGTTGGTCGAGTGGATTTCCACTGGGTTCCTCGGATAGCTGGGCTAGAGCTTTCCGAATTGGATAGTAGGGAGTGATTTTTCTCGCGAAAAAGTCCGGTACCAATTTCCGGACCCCGGAGGAATGAGAGGCCTTGATGAGCCTTGCGCAGAATCGATGCAGCACTGTGTTTATGATGACATATCTGTCTATTATGTATATTCTTCAATAATTCCAGACATTCCTTAATTATTGCCGTTTTGTGAATGCGTTTGTATCTTTAGAAAAGTACTGATTAGTAAACAGAAAAGTTTTAATTGAGTTACTAGGAAAATTCCCATACTATCGCAGTCCGAAGAACAAGTTTTGGAATGTTTTCTGTGTGGATGAAAAGGAAACCATCAGTTCCGACATATGAACGCGTCGTAGACGCTTCTTCGTTGTCAAATAAAGAAGAAATTTTGCAATATCTTCTTCCTAAACTTGGGTTGTCTAAGTACTTCTTCATTTGCTAAAACTTACTACGGATGTCTGTCAAAGCACGTAAACATTCAGGGCGACCACAAAGAGCAGTGACGGACTTTGTTTCCAAGCGTGTCCTCTCAAATCTAAGAATTTAGGTGCCATATTGCCATATAGTTTTTTTTTTTTTAGTAAAACTCTTCATCTTACGGAATATGGATTAATGAATCACACACAATTGGCTATTTTGCGTCTTGTGTTGCTTTCTTTGTCGATGCAAATCTACGCACAATCTGCTCAGTGCAACCGGATCTACAACAATTTGCAACGATGGCGCAATTGGTGGCATTGTTGCGCAATGAGCAACAGGTCATGAGAACAAGCCAAATGACAACTCGAAACGATATTGGAACAACTGGACAAAGGAAAATGACGTCGACTAAGGAAATTTGTATTGGGTTGATTATAGCAAAATATCTGTGTTCATTCACTTTGCGAACGATGGAGAAGAAATTTTCTTGTAGTTAACGCATAAGTGACCGTATGCTTTGATTTCAAAGCATGTCCTTTCCAACTGTTGTGTTGCCACGAAGAATTATTTGCTGCGCTTTTTGTATTCATGCAGTACCCTATTCAACATAGATGTTAGGCCAAACGTGGTTCGTGAAAGCTATCCCCTATATTTACTAATTTAGAAGAAAAGAACTCTTTTGAAGAAACATTTCAATGGATAATGCTAGTTATTAGGCTTGTTGCCAACTGCTCGCCACACAGAATTAAGCGTAGTCGCGTAGAGGTCGACGTAAGCAATTAATGGATTTAGAAGTAAAACAATATATTGCCAAAGTAGACTTTATACTGTTTTAATAATAACACTTGGAAACTTGGAAGGCCTGTCTTCACTCATTGTGCGGGTCCCATCATAGTTTCAGTTTTGCGACAGGACCGCCTCGCAGCCACGATGGGGCGGTAAACTGTTGGGAGGACTAATAACACTAACCGAAGATAAATCGCGTTTAACTTAATTTCCAGACTGCCAATGGAAACCTCCGACTTTTGTTCTAAAACAAAATTATAAGAAAAATTGTAAACGATCAGACGACGTCCGTACCTTCATTGAACTGACGATTATTTTGTTAAATAAACGAAACATATCTTCCAAAGGGCGTGACCAGGCATCGAAAATATGGAATTGTTTCTTCTAAGCATGTCTTGCATATGTGACCCATCTCCATTATGCAATTAGTTCCTATTATTTGTGCACATTAGGAAAGTGACCCCTGACTAAATTGAAAGTTAGAGCGCACTCTGATATGCTGTCAGCTGCTGATGTCAGATAATTCATACTGTTCAGATGCGCATTTTCGATTGTAAGGCGTTTCTGCTAACCACTTGGAGCATTCATGAAACCAAAAATTTATGTTTTCTATCGAAACTTTAGAAAATTCTATAGATAAACTATGAAATAGACTCTCCTGTCCATTCTTTTCTACAGTGACAGGCGCAATACCCCTCCGAATGCTAACTGAACCTACGATGCTATGGCATCTGTCTAAAATATTTCTCTCGTCATCGTCTTTGAACAGAGCGCCACCATTCAGCTACAAACCTAACTGAGCTTATGCCAATGAAATTCGTGTGTTCAAATAAATTTTTGTAAAAGGGAGTTATTTTGTTTCACTGCTGTATATAAAATATCTAGTATTACTATTTTCGAACGTTGTCTTTACCTTATGAGCGTCGTTTATTGGTTGACCAACCACCATCTCTTCGCCGCCCCTTACAGGAAGGAAGCTTCCGCTCTCTGCTAATTCAGTCGATGGACTGGGAACAAGAGGGGCTGGAGCTGACTAAAAACAATTTACATGTGATTTCGGTACTAATAATTTCCAGAGAGACGTTGGACTTGTAGCAGTAGTATCCATGACAAGTGAGACAATTGAGTAAATGCTCGCGGAATTATTGAATAGTTGGTCGGCATGGATCGTTTTGAAAGATCTGTGCTTGCAAACTAGGCAACTCTCTTCTACAAAATGGGCCATATGATTTTACTCAAACGTTACTGCTGGAATATGCAGAGGACAAAAAAGAATACAACGTTTGTTTTTTCAATGTTTTGCTGGTTCCTGCTTATTTTTGTGGTCTTTTCCTTGTACTTCCTGAATCAATTCAGTGTTTCTCACCTTCCAAAAAGGTCTGCTTCTAACCGACTTCGGAGGGATGGAGCCTTGTTTAGTCCAGGACTCATGATCCAACCAACAACAATCATGTTTTTCGTAGAGGTGCCTTTAATCTCTACTCTACAAATGTCCATAGGGCTATACTATCTTGGATAACTTAGACCTCCCTCAAATTTTTTATTTCTAGTCCACTATGTCTACACTATGTCATCTTTACGTTCTATATTGACCTAATTGATTGAGTTAAAAGGAATTGAATTAGAAAATACGCAACGGTTTATCGAGTCCACTGAAGTTTGACCTACCTCTGCGGCTTCGGGTTGAGCATGTTGCCATGCGTTCGCTAGGGGAACGTTTACTGGCACTGCCGGTTCCGCATTGACGTCGACCGTCTGTGGAGCGACGTCAGAGGCCATGTCAACAGGTATATTGAATTTCTCCTCAAACCAATATGGAATAATATGCAATTTCCACAATTTCCACAAGATATTCTATGTAGACTAATACTGAAGCTGAAAAAATATAAAATATCCCATCGACGACAATAAATATCATTTTACTTATGACGTCGTTGGAAATAGCATAGTGTAAAATATAATCATAGCACAATAATTTGCGTTTGACTATAGCAGGATAAATTAAGGTAAATTCGGGATAAATTTTGGAAGTACTGGAGGCAAATGAAAATTTATATCCTGTTATAATTTCGGCCTTTATCATTCGAGCAATTTTTCCATTATGTGGCAATCGCAACACTTAACTATAAATCGGATCACTCTTTGTTTAATGTCCTCAGCTCTTACAGCTCTAGGCAGTCTTTCTAGAATAGTACTGACACAGTTTCGTTCATATAGGAATTGGCTAACCTCCTTCCGGAAGCCGTCAATTCCATCGCTATCGTGTCCAGTCTGGCTGGTTGTCTGTTCAGCAGTGATTTGAGAAACCGTAGGGTGTGGTCCTACCGCCACCGTATTCTCCATCCAAGAAGAAGCAGCCGCTGCTGCATGGGGATTAAATGGCTGATCGATCTAAAATACCAATAGTTTTTGAAAGTTGAATATTTGCTGCTACACTTGGACTAAATTTCCTGTTTATGGGCAAAAATATTTTTAGAAAACCGTGGTAAAACCTTATTGTTGCTATTATCCCATGTTGGTGTCCACTTGTTTTCGAACCCATTCATATACCATGGTTTCTGGTTTCCCAAGTTCTCATTGAGGTTGTTCAAGTTGTTGTTGTTGTTGTTGAAATCGGTGATGAATGGCTGAGGAAAAATTGGAACCTGGAGATACTTAGAAATGAGAATATCGAGAGATACAAACTTTAATAACCACACCTGGTTTTGAGCTGGGAAAGGAAATTGATTTTGTTGCCCAAGAGAAGGTTGGAATGGCGGAGGCGGTGGAGGTAGCTAAAAATGGAGTTATTTGTAAACCAAATAAAAGCTCCAAGTCCTGGCGAAAACTAATTGCAGTAGTAAACATTTTGTGGGCAGACATAGAGCTTTCTCGGGATTCGGTAAAGAGTTTTGAAACCACGAAGCGATATCTCCGTTTTAATAACTAATAACAAGCATTTACGAAGCCACACATGGGAAACTGCAGCATTTGTGAGAATGGCAACCTGACGACATTTTCCACCATATTCTGCTGCAGTAAACCGACTGCAGATGTCTTTGCTGTCAAACTGAGAAGTTTTCTTAGAATTCGGCAGCATAATCACTTTTGCCACAAATCTTCATCAGAGAGAGATTCTATGGCGGTAAGTATCGAAGCGACGTGGCGCGTCAGAAGGTGGTACATAAGGGGTTTATCATAGACCAAAAACGGCTTTAAGCTTATCTGAGATGCAAGTGAATCCAGGAAATGGGCCACCTTTTCTACTGCGCCGATTTGGCAGACACCATCTTTATTTATGAGAACATATTCATGCCCACATGCGTGGCTGTTCTCGCTTGAAAGGGTTGTATTTTAGAGTGAATTCAGCCAAGAGCTTGCGTCACCTCCAACAAATAAGCTCTCTATGTACTCTGGAAGAGACTGCTAAGCTACCTCTGATTATACCCAGCCTCAAGTTCAGACCTGGGCAAGATATACGTGGCACCAGACGCTGGACAGCAAAACAAGTGAGCCGCATTATCCTGACCGTGAAAGAGCTCACGATACTGCAGTGTTGGGTGGGACGAGCACGAAGAAGCTAAAATCTCAGGTCAGGACCCTTCGAAGCTATCTAACTCTCGAAGGACTAAGGTGATAATTTGTAGCTACAATGCCGATTTGCCTCAAAGTCCTCTATAAGAAACCTGACCGTGTATGCAAGAGGTATAAGGTACGACGTCATCGGACCCTCTGAGACAAGGATACGTCGTACATCCGACTCCGTTTAAGGAACGTGAGAAGAACTGTTGCTCGGACAATCCGATAACGGAAGAGTCGGCAGCGTCAACATCCTCGTCAACACGAGTTTGACCATAAAAATCAATTCATTCGAAAAGCTAACAACCCGAATCGGATGTTTGTGGTAAAAGAGATGTAGAACAGTAACCGCTTTGACAGGCATCGTTATCCACAGACCGAAATCAAGTTATGACGAAGACGAAATCGAAGCGTTCTGTACAGGCTTGAGTTCTATAGAGAAGAACACACATTCTTTATGGTCACATTCGAGAACTTAACTTCAAGATTGGATCTAGAAGAGTGTCTGAACGTGACACTGAGAATCATAGATAAGAATGAAACCAGCAGAGTGAGCGGTTGTCTGAGCTTATCACGATGTCCAAGACCATCATGACCATCCCTGGTGACTCAAAATTTCAGAGGTCCAGGTCTCAACGTTGGAAGCGAAAGACTCCCAGCGGAAAGAATTATAACGGGATAGACACATCACAGTCAATGAAAGGTTCTACGTCAGCAATATCGCTGTTGTCTCATTGAATTCTACACGAAATCAAACCATTTCTCCTTCGTGTAAGGTTTCACTTCCTGCGGAAAATGAAGAAAGTCGTAAATTCAAAGAACCAAGTCCCAAAAACACCATAAACTGGGATTAATTCAGTATAGTCTGCTGTTGGAAAGACCCCATTCTCGGTGACATCGGCGGAGAGTATGATCGATTTATTCAACATCTTCACGTTAGCGCTATGAAAGCTGAGAGGTCGAAAGTCAGAAATAGGCGTATGTCTCGAGGAACACTCGAGCTGATACGCACGCCAGCGCGGAATCGCACGCGCTACAGGCAACTCGTGTTCAAACTTGCAAAACAGCGCAAATAAACTATAAAAGAAGATCTTGAAAAAAAAAGAACATCACTTATAGTCGAAACTCCAGAGGTTGCGAAAAGCGTTCGCAAAGACCACTAAGCTACGCCACTGGCAAAGTCAAGGAGATTGTACTCTAACGCCTAGGCAGAACAGTTACGACGTCCAAAAAGGTAATAGAAAAAATCATTTACGATTACTACTCAGATCTCTTTATTAGCCACGTCCACCTGCCCTGATTTGAAACAAATGAGGATGAATAGGTCACGCAACCGGTTCTCCCTTCCGAAATCCGACTCGCTATTTCTATGAAGAATCTAGCAATACCAGTTTCGTGCAGTATACGATTGAAAAAGATTGGAACCTAAAGAACATTCCGCTAGTCCTCATAAACACACTAGATCGGATTTTTTTTGTTACCTACCCGAATGCAAGGTTGCAACTCGGTGGAACACAGTGCTATTGTAGAAAAAAAGTATTTTATTGGTATGTATTCTACCTCCACGTTATAGGCAACTATTACCCAATCTGCTCGCTGTTTGTCGTCTGCAAAATTTTCACTTGAGTCATCCTAAACAGGATTGACAGAACACTAGGCGATGGACAGCTATGTGGTTAAGCAGTTTCGTTCAGTACTGTGGACCACATCCACACGATAACAGGAATCATTGAAACATTGCGAGAGTACAACAGACCAATCAGTCTCAGGTTTTGGGTCAGAATCAGTCACATGGGTTTTGGATAGCCACAGAAATCCACTTTATTTTGAAAGATTCTTCGTAAGTTATATGAAAATTTCACAACGAAAACATCACCATTCCCAAGATGGATGAATGATAACTTAGTCTTATGGAACACACAGTAGAAAAGAAGTTGATAGGAGTATGCAGTATCACGGAATTTAGAAAGAAGATCCGAAAATCGGACTTACGTCAACCAATGAAAATTAAAAACGCCATTTTACTCACCAATTTGTCAAGGATAACGCGGACCGGACACTTAACGTGTATGAACGATAACTGATGAACCACAGCCGTTAGCTATTGGATATCTTGCAATATTAAATGGACAAAAGGAAAAACAACGAACCGATGGTCAAAGTTCTTCATATGAACTCTAGAAGGGTAATCATGCCTAACAAGTTTATAGAGCGAGCATGAGCCCTCTGGGCTACTCCTGCTGGCGACTGGGAGAGATGAAAGCTTTGCCTACGCCCTATCATCTTGCTCGACGATCAAGCGTACAGCAGGTGATGCGACAGGTGACAGGTGAAAAAGGTGTATAACACCAAGAACAAGAATCAGAGGACGTATAAGTTCGAAACGGTGAAACGAACCGCAGCTATGAACGATGACTGTGAATGGACTAGAAGAAGTACAGAGTTAAAAGAGTTAATTCGGAAATTCACTTATTGTATGACGTCAATCACTCGCATTTTTCAGCCAAACTGTCTCATTTGCCATCGAAACATACATTTTTACTTTAATTACCAAATGCTTTCCTAGAAATTAGCTTTTGCAATAATATAGCAATCCGTTGCTAGCTTCATAGCTATATTCCAAAAAATGTCACATTTCATGGACGTCGACACGAACACAAACAAGTAAACACAAGGAAGTAGGGAGAGAGTTCACGCTGGAATCATCATATGAGCTGACATAATAGCTTATTCTGTTGGGCTTTACGTTATTGTGTTCAAATATAATCCTAGGAAAACTTTTCTTCCTTGTTGAGAGCATTCGAATACGCATCTTAAACTAGGTTTAAGGGGTCTTCACTATTAATATTTCTCTTTGGAAAAAAAATCGTAGGGAATGAGCACGACAAATTTTGCTACTAAACAGTGTAAAGAAACTTGTACCGGCTGAAACGGCGGTTGCTGAAGTGGCGGTGGCATCTGACCGAAGAATACTGGTGGCCAAATCATTGGATGCAGAGCTTGCTGAGGTTGATCCCATCGCTGTTCCCATCCGGGAACTTGAGGCCAGGGCTGCGGTTGAGGCCACTGTAGCGCGGGAGTCTGTGGCCACGGCTGAGGCCATTGCTGTTGTTGCATCTGCTGTTGTAGGAGTTGCATGTGAGCCTGTGCCTGATCACGGATTACGAAAAACGCCATCTTAGAATGGGCATGTAGGAAGGATTTTTAGGGCATGATTTATGCTTTTTGAATTTTGTGTAGGAAACAGCACTGTGTTAAAAATGCTACATGATTTTGAAAGTGGACAGTGCGTCGAAGCCCTTATTTCGAAGCACTGCCTAAGCTACAAATTAATGTTGTTGCTTGTTAAAGACGACATACATTTTTCTGCCCAAGTATATGGCCGATGACCTCAGGCGCATTATTTCCAAATGGCTCAGTCAAAAATCGCTGAGGAGCTTGATTTTCCTAAAAATAAACCGCTGAGATGGCTAAATAAAACCGAAGCTTTGCATTCTTTCACAGCATAGAAGAAATGCCGTTAGACTAATTAATGAACCCTACACTATATCGTAGTCTTATTTCATAATAATAGTGCTACTACTACTACTATCACTCATAATCACTCATAATAATAACAATGATAGTAATAATAATAGTAATAGTAATATCATCTTGAATTAGGATTCTCGAAATGACGGTCGTGTTCGACCCTACAAATAAAGCTCCGGCGATAGTGCTGCTTATCCGAAGCATCCTTTAAACATTCACTCTACGACATATTACTTTCCTCTTATTCTTACTAACTACCAATGAAGTCACTACAGTGTAGAACATTGGTTACTTTAAAACATTTTTTGTATTTAAGACCACAAAAGCGTTCATTATTTTCAAGCTTTTACTTCAGCAATGTCTTGTATTTCCTTGGTTTCTATAGAGTTCTCAGATCCGTCTGAGAAACTTTTGCTTACCTTTTCGAAGTGCGGTGAAAACCTCGCTTGTGGCTCTCTATCAGAAGCATCCAAAATGGGGTATAACACCTGATTATCTTGCTGCCATCTGGGTTCCTGAGGGCCCTCCCATTGATAGGGTCTGCATCGAAACAAATATGAGTCCATTTCATTCATGAAATGAGCGAATGTGTAAAAATATTTGCGGTGTACCTATCAGCCGGACGACTCCACGGCGAGGGGCGCATGTTTTCGCGATCAAATTGCCAAGGAAGTTCGATATTACCGCGTCTGAAAAAATTATAGTTCAAGAAATAATCTGAAAGTTGATTTTGTGGCAAAAAGTGAAGGGGCTGAAAGAGTACTGTATGAATTAAAGCCTCACTACGAATGAACTTCTGTTTTTTTCTTGTGGACGTGTCAAATATTGTTTCCGATAACTCCCAGCAAGGAGGTTCTACATGCCCTACATGGTTCTACATACTTGCTCACTCAATTCCCAATGATAATTTTCAAGAGCATAAAACCAGAAAACTTTGCATAAAACGTAACTGGATCTGCTAGTGGAGATCTAAAAACCGTTCGACGTGCAGGCTTAAGAACTTACATGTCATTGTGAGTTTCCTCATTTCGCCACGGTCCAAGCACCCGTTTTGGAAAGGCCACTTCACCAAATGCATCGTCAATTGACTGTTGAGGCATCTGAGCAGAGTTCTATAGTGTTCAGTGACTACGTATGACGGATAATGAGAAAAAATAACGCTCTTGGTATTCTTAGCCTTTTTATTTACTGCCTATTCTTTTTTTTAACGGCAGGGTATTTTGCGAAATATAACTACTAAAATGCTGAGATATTTGCAAAACACCGAATCGCAGATGTCTGCGGTGGGGAACGAACACGCTATTATCCTTTCCGGGTAGTAACGCGTTCACCACCACACCATCCGGGTCCTTCGTTTCGCCCGTCTCTCAGCTAGTTCTACCGATCTTTTGCCATCAGCATTGTGATTATAACTTTAATTTCAGCTTAACTGGGTTCAATGCCGATTTGGGCTCTCCAGATCAATCCCGTTGACGGGTGATTACCGATGGCAAAAAATCGATAAAACTAGCTAAGAGACTGGCGAAACAATGGACCCGCATGGTGTGGTGGTGAAGTGCGCTGCTCTCCGGTAAGGACAATAGCCCGTTCGTTCCCCACCGTTTTGCCATTGCTCAATCGCTGAGTAGGTGCTCTTTGTGTTCAACTTTACCCACCATCGTCAGGGGTGGATGGATGCATATTTGTCCTACACAATGACTTGCGGTGCCTACCGATGTATCAAGTCAGTGTTCCTACTCTTTCAGACAAGTCTGGTACCAATTTGGCGACACAAGAGGGATGAAAGGCTTGATGCCCGGCCGGATCGTGGAATCGAACCATTGACCGACTCACTGTGTATTTCAGGGTGTTTCTAACAACTGTATTGCACACGCCCAAGCTTTGCCATATTGCATACGAAGATTATTCCCCATTCCGAAAAGGAGTGCTAGGCTGAGTCATATGCTTCATTCCAAAGCATCGCAGTAAACCGTCGATTGATGTTGATTGACCTATGTAGATATTGACGATATTATTCAATACAGGCTTCACATGTTTACGGTAATGTGGTGTTTAACCTTCATTTACTGATTCATTCATCCTTTTCTTTTCGTATCACGGTATTATGCGAAATACGACCACAAGGATGATAGAATATGAACAAAACTTAGGACCTTAACCACTGAATTAACCGAGGCTCTTGTTTTGCTTTTCACTCAGCCTTCCCGATGATATCAGCGGTCACTCACCAACGGCAATGATCTGAGGGGCACAAATCAGCATTGAACTCAGCAAAGCGGATGCGGCATTGGAAATCACAATGTTTTAACTTTTGCTCACTGCCTATTCTTTTTTATAGCAAAGTATTATGTGAAATACAGATCGTTACCGTTGATGGGTGAATGCTGATAGCATCGTTATGATAACAAAACAAAAACTAAAACTGGCCCAGAGAAAGGCAAAGCAAGGACCTGGGTTGGTATAGTGGATAACATATGAGCCAGCGGAAAGTAGTTTTCATTTCCACTACTATTCATTTTCATCTCAATCTGAGAGTGCAGCAGTTCATATAGGTTTATCTTTCTCGAGGAGATTGTCATTAGCCGAACACTAGGAAATATAGAAATGAAAACCGTTCTGACAATAGAATAAGCCAGCTCGCAACGTGTGGACTCGGTTTAATGCAGGTTGGCTTAAACAGTTGATTGCGTTCTATTCGGAAATCAGGACACCGCCATGCATTTCTTCTTAGGAATGAACGACAAACGCCTTCTGATTCTGAATTCAAATCGTAGTCGTTATCGGACCAACCTTGTCGTTATTAAACGGCTTCAGCTCAATGACGTGTACTTGCACATCACCAGTTATTCCCATTTCTTCGGCATTTTCACGCATCTTAGATAGAATCATACGGAGAAGATCGAATTTACTTGACTGAAATCAAAAGTTGTCGTCTCAATGCAACACATTTGCATCGACGCTATTTTTCACTCACTACTATAATTTTTCGATTACTGCAGCGCTTGAGAATCTAAGGAAAGAAACTTTGATCTACCACTTTATGGGAGGTATAAATAATCCTTTCAAAAAAGCACTCGAGATTTATTCGAAGCGAAAATTTTCAATAAACTTCAGAGAGGAGCGTCCAAGACCTCAAGGCAGGCGCAGCAGCTGCCAACGTCGACGGTGCACTCGCCGATATTCTGTTAGATGAGGTCCTGATATCGTGCTTATTCACTAGCTTCTTCTTTGTAAATTAGGGTCTCCATTGAGAAAAATGTGGGAAACAAGAGGTTTTTAAGAGGTAGAAAATGTGCAAAATTGGAATTTCGGCGTGATAGTACATAAATTTGTATCTTTCTCTCAAATAACTGTAGATTCAAATGTAGGCCGTTCGCATTTAATAAAGCTCTTTATTAATCGAAATATATTCGTTTAAATTTGAATTCCCGCCAAAGTGTGAGACGTGTGCAACTCGCGTAGTCCACAATGTGGAACGTTTTTGTCTTAATGAGTACGTCGCAATTTTGGGCATATCGTCGCTCAGCAATTTTATTTATTATCTGTCGGATATCGATTCTACTATTCATATAGTCTTTTGTTTAAACTTTTTTGAGAATCCAATTCAGATTCTGAGGATTTGATTCTTGAGAATGACTTGAAAATAGGAACTTTCACTGATATACCACTTAATGCTCGGTACAGCGCTTAATATCTCTAGTTTCTTTGCTGAAAAGTAATAACAAAAAAGTCAACTCAACATATCCGTGACAATTTTACGTCCTTTCAGACTGCTACGCATAAGATTGAAAAAAGGCGACAACATATTTCAGTAGTATTCCCTCTTCTCATCAACTCAGACCAATGGATTCTTTTGCATTCAATCGTATTAGTTGACGCAAAAACGCCAAACTGGTAGGGGCACGAGGTCATCGTGCAAGTGTAATCTGTGGATAATCGCTCTGTTCATCCGTATGCTGATGTCGATGGGTCACGTTCCACACTGGTCACCGCTCGCTCCACTCGCTTCAGCAGGTGCAATTGGCCTCATTGCCGTACTTCCACATCCCGTACACCCTCTCTTGTCAGTAATTCGTCCGATTTAATGATGCCGGAACTGACAGATTTTGCAGGCTACCAGTTCTTTTTCTCCACCAGTAGGTCTACGAAAATTGCTACCGCGGAATTGCTAGGTATTTTAAAATTCCCTTTACTGTCATCACTCTCATGATAATATGACGGTAACTAGTTTTGAAATTCCGTACACAGCACTTAGTGAAACTCAACTTTGAATTTCTTTCTTCTAATTATGTTAGCGAAACGCTTAATCGCTGTATTTTGCGCCTCATAAGTCTCAACAATCGGTATGGGTCGCAAGAACTCACAAGCTCGTTGTCATTCCCCTCACTCGATGTTTCTGTCGATTTCGTAGGAAAAGCCTCCTCAGTAGTAGTAGTAGCAGTTGTAGTAGTAGTACTAGAACTGGTAGTAGTAGTCGTGCGTTGCTCTTCGGTTAAACTAAAATATTTAGTAGGTATGGAAAATTAATACGTAATCGATCTTAGCGATCAGCTTACTCGTGACGCCTCGGGAACGCAGGCAGCTCATTGACTGACTGTTGGACTTGTCCACGAGTCTGTTGTTGGGCTTGTGAGAGGATTTCGAATCCGAGCATACGTTGACGAAGTTCGGCCCTGAATCAGGTGTACATTTCATCTATAAGCTATAAAAACTTTATTTCAAACCCGACTTTTCTTTAACCTCACTATGACTAGTCAACATGTATTCTTGCTTTGATAAGCTTAGACAATACTGTTATACAACTTTTATTCCGCTAACGTTTGGACGTATTTGTTCTAATCAGAGCCGACGATCGGAGTCGATGGTCGTGAAGAAGAAGGCGAAGAAACCTTAGCCAAATAAAACTTATACAACAATCTCGTTTTAGCTTATCAAAGAAAGAATACGTCTTTCTTTGTTATTTTCAGATGAATAAACTCGGATGTCTCTAAATTTATCGTGGAAAAATGTGGAAAATTTTCACTTCCACATGTGTCCTTATTGAAAACATTTCGTTAAGGGCATTTACTTGGAAATGAGTCAGAGCTAATTATTAGTGATCGGAGACTATTTTTCAGTCCTCTAAAAGTCACTTGGATGTACACAGGCTTGCACATCTCACTGCGTGAAGGTTGTTAGTATTGGAATTTTGAAACTGAGTTATTGAATGAAAGAAACCATGCAGTACCATTTAAGGGTCAAGAAAGCTTGATCTCTTTGTCTGTTGTAGGTGATTTCGGAGATCGTTAAACACAGCAGAACGACGAAAAATGCTGCAACCACCCACGACAACACTGAAATAATTTCCATTCAACTAAATATACACCATCTAAGCACATTTTCAATAAATAGATAATCTGAAAAAGAAACCTCCGCAACCAAATCGTTTTTTTGGTGGTGCTTGAGGAATGATGATTGGTGGTGGGCCTGTCAGGGGCACATCGATCTGAAGGAAGATTTGTTCATAGGTGAATTTCCAAGTGAGATAAACACAAGCACCGAAGATAATGTGGCCCGATTAGAATTTTCCACAGCGCAAAAATGTGTGAGTTCATACATTTTTCCCAGATACGTGAGCACAGATCGTTTTTTTTTAATACGAATGCAGCAGAACCTCACAACTTTTGCAACCAGTATAAGAATAAAGAGGACATTATACTTCCACGTGATTTCTGTGCGGTTGGTCTCTACGTGACATACTTGGTGGAGACCTCATAGGAAGCGGCTCTGAGGAGGGCGAAGTCCGCCGAAGCGTCAGCTTGATAGTGAACAAAGAATGATAACACCTCGCGTTTGCTCAACAAAAATACGAATAAAGAGGATTGTTGTGGAAAGAAAAGTCGCCTTCAGAAACTCTGTTAGTGGAGACGGCGACGCCTTCACCATTCCCTTATTGAGGTGAATATATGTCACCTGACAGCAACCAAGTTTAAAAGTGAGAACAATAGTCTGCTGCTAAATTTCCAAAATTCATTAGGCTTCCCTTTCCCATTTCCTTTGTCCAGATTTTGTTATATGACACAGATAACTAACATGACGCAGTGAAGTTATAGGCAAACACAGCTTGTTTAGAAGGTGGAAAATGAGCTCTGACTTCACTTTGTCACTTCGAATTCATCACACCACAGCATCTTTGGATTTCGCTCCATAAAAGACACCAGAAAAGTGATTCGACACCTACTTTGCTCTCTTGTACAGGTGATAGAGTTGCATTTCTAAAAGTACTCGACCAAAACTTGAGTACAGGTTACCTTCTAAAAGAGTAAGAATTGGTGATCAAGTGCCGAATGTCTCATACATCGATTGTATACTCTGCTCATAAAGTAAACTCAAAGATTTAAGACACCGAGCACGCACGCTTGGTCTGAAAGCACTGCGATGCTAATGCTGGCAATTTCGAAGATATTATGCGAAATGGCAAGGAACAATGTAGTGCAGATTTATCTTTCATAAGAAAAAATTAAATATCGGTGTCCTACTCGAATTCCATCAACGAGATCCAGTGACTAGACCTTGCTTGTTAGCAAATGTGAAAATTCCCATAGAGAAATTGTGGTGATCAGAATCCGGGTTCGCATTGTGGGAGCACCTCTTTTTTCCACCTTTGTTAAACATAAGCGATACTGTTTTAATCATGCAAGTTTGACGAACACAACTGATTGAACAAGCCATACGTGCAGCAGAGTTATTGCGCAGATGTACAAAAAAAATCGTATAGTAAGAAGTTGATCAACAAAAACCTTGTGGACTTCATTTTGGAGATTCCAGAGGTTTCACCTATGGTACACCCCGAACACACCTCTCCGATTGTCATCTGCCCAAATCGTCCCAGTATCAGCTTGGTGAATGATGAACATAAAATTAATATAAAACAAGATAATGATTGATGAAGGCACCGTCAGGTAGAAAACTGGTTAAGAGAAAGCAAAGCATGGACCTCAGTGGTGCAGCGGGTAATAAGTGATCCCCAAAAGGGCAATTGCGTGTTAGAATCTGGCTTGGGATGCAAGTTTTGCAAATATCTCAACCACATAATGATTGCATGTTTTGTAATTTAAAGCAAGATGTCTAAAAAACAGTTGAGCAGCAACTTCAGTCGATATGCTGACCTTCTACAGTTAGTTACTACTTAGATACTTAAATGGCCATACTTCACATGCTCTGTGGGTATTGACACTTATTGCATTAGTCATGGTCCTTCAACTTTTACTAGCAGTAGTGGCTAAGTTTACGTGTGACAACTCAAGGATCTGTGGACTTTCCACCTTATTGACACCCTGAATGCTGTTCGAAGGTTTTCCGACCGGACATAGCATCGCTAGGACGTTCTCAGGTCGTCACAGCCCTATGGATCCGAGGGAAGCTCACCGCTTTGGAATTAAATCCTTCTAGTGCGACAGCGATTCCTACGGAGACAACATGTCTTGCGATCAAGCAACGGACATTCCCCTTCTACATAAATCAGATCAAATGCCTTCAACGTCGACCGACTCAAGTGATGTATACCGAGAAGGAATGCGATTGTTGATTAACGTTCTTTTCATTTGGAATAAACAATTCTCTTCCAGAATGTCACGTTCCATGGCAGTAGTTTGTCGCTGGCCGTAACAAAAAAAGGTACAGAAGGAAAAAATTAAGCAGTGAAAGTGCACCTTCGCGTGATCAGCTTTCTCTGCATCCGCCTTTAGCGATTTCTCCTTGTCGTCTAAGCCCACGGTAAAGACTTTCATCTTCGGCTGATTAACCTGGAAAATATCTTCGTGAAATATCATTTTAAAGTTACAGAAGATTGTTAATACACTCGTAGAAGCAAACGGAATGTATTAGAATGGAACAAAAATGAATACATTTCACATGAAGTGAATGGAATCAGAGCTAGAGATGTTCGCTAACCATCTTATACTAATCACATTGAAATAATAGTCGTGAAAAGTGATAAATGAGGAGACATGAACGAAATGTTCTCTGGCTCTAGACGCCAGATATTTGTTGCAGTTGCTGGTTCTCCGTTTTTCCACTGGTGACTAGTAATCTTGCGCGTTCTGTATTCTAAGGTCAACGAACAGTAACCAGCAGCGTGAAGACCAGAAGAAGAGAAAGAGTGAAGAATGAATTTTCTAAACGAAACACAATAACGAATGGTTTTATAGAAGAGAACAAACGAACTCGGTGACGTGCGTTCCCAGTTAAAGCGTGTTTTTATTTCTTTGTTATTTGCCTTTACTCCGAGAAAGGCTCTGTGGAAAAACACACAACGAGAGTGAACGGCCAAATTTGATATGCTATGTTTTAGAAAAAGAGCTACAAACTCTAGGAATGGGTTTACTGATTTAAGAGGAAAGAAGAATTTCGGTAAGCGAAATTCACAGTAAATGTTATTCCTCTCCTTTCCTTACTTTGGTTCTGTGTTTTAACATAGTCAGACACAACATCACGCTAAGTAAAGCTCAAAAAATTATAGCGCCGCAAATTTTCTCATTTCCTCTTTTTGAAGGATCACTATAATTTCCGACAAGTGTCAAGAGGCCTTGAGTCTCTTAGAGCTCTCACATAATATCCTTTTAAACGAAGCTTTGTTAAGTAAAATAAACTGGATACAGACGATGTAGTAAGCAAATGAAAGTCCATTAGAAACGAAGAATTGATTTAGCTAGCAATTCCACTTAAATCCTCTACTTCAATCTATGCACATGTAATTACAACACATAATCTGTGACCGTGACATCTACTCAAATTCTTAACTTCCTCTCCTTTCCTTACTTTGTTCTTCCGAAGATCTAGAGGCCTAGTACTATTTAAAGATTTCTAAGATTTATCTCTTTGGAACATCTAGGATGACAACCCACTGGGCTCCATATTACGCTCCTTCTTTAGTTGGCCTTCTCTGAGCGCTTAATGCGTATCGGTTCGTGGATTTTGTCAGCTCGGTCGGTCTGAAGGAAAATTTAGTGGACGGTCAATAAAAAAACTAGTCGTATCATAGTAACTCAGACTTATCTATAAGAGAATGCATCAGTATTTAGTTATTTATGCGAAGCAAGGTATTCAAGTGACTATTTAAATTCGATATACTCCTGATATTGTGGTGGAGCCCGAGGGAGGTGTTAGCGGGGTGGGTGGCCAGTGGACAAGCTGTTGTCGAAAACCAGCCTGTTGAGCATCACTGGACCAGAACTACCGGCTGCACAAATGTTGATCAGTGGCGTTGATCGGATCGGTCACCCCGATTGTTCTGTTTCGTGCACGAATCAAAGGTACCAGTATGGGATATGATGACCAGAAAAAAACTAAGTAGCCAATGAGCATGCATAATGTTTTTCCAAGAATGTGTTTGAAAAGGTTTTCAAGAACCGAGATGAATTTAACGTTCCTTTGAGCTGGGGAAAGCTTGATCAAAACATTGGGTGTTGGCGATGATGTCAAGAGTAAACCACAAACTCATTGAAGCAGCTTCGAGATTCAATAGAATGACCAGAATTCCTATGTAAACATGTGCTCGTATTCAAGATGTCTCGTTTACACTTATCAAAGTTAGTGAACAAAGGAAAAAACGATGGAAAAACAAACAAAAGATTGCCAAGTTACGCAGTGTGAAAAGAATTGAGCGAATTGGTC